ACGTGTAGCCGGATGCACGTGTCGCGACGCTCGTAACTTCTCGTCGGGATTTAACGTCGTTGATGATAAGCTCGTTCTAGTTTCGAGTAAAATTCCACCATTGTCACCGAAAAGATTCATCTTCTTTCGACGAGATTCTTGTCGAATCATTCGCTTGTCCAACTTGAAACGCGATAGCGATTATATCCGGTAATACCGAGTTCTAGGAGGAACTTTCTCCCTTTTGTTCTACTCTCCAATCAGCGTCCTTTCCTCTTTTCTTTCGTGGGACGGGAACAACGAAATTATGCAAGTAACCACGCCCTTGTTTTGTCCGGCGTCTATTCACGGACTTCTGACAAATTCATTTGTCGCTCCGTTCACGCTACCGCGTTTAGTCAGCGTTGCCACTAAATCGCATGAATCAGATCCTGGGTCACGCGTACTCGGATGAAAAATTGTGCGACTATGTGTCGTCGCGAGTGTTTCTTCCGATGGACCAGTCAGAACTCGACGTTTTACGGCGTCGTTTTCTTAAATTAGACAAGTCGACTGCACGCATCTGCACACGAGCGTGATTCACGCTATATCCAGTTGCACTTAGATTCATGATACTTTTTGTTGCGATTCGGTAACTCAAGATTTATAATACAATCGCTGGAAGAGTTATGTTTCAACAAATATCGTAACGCGGCCGATAGTTGCAATATTCTCCATCGGGCAGTACAACATCTTTGTCGACTTTCTCGCGAGTGCTCGTTTAACTATCCATTCAAACGTTCATTATTTCGACAACTATCAAAGAAGCTGTTATATAACCGCAACATCTTTTTTTTATTAAGTCTATTAGAAAATATAAAGTCACTTAGAAAGTTATCTTTAATTATCTTAAAACTAATCGAGATTTTTTCTACGATGTAGAATTTAGACGATAATGACTTTTCAACACGAATTTTCAAAGTATTTCTATTCCGAGATAAACTTTCTTGGAAGTATTTACTATTGTCAAAACTTGATTAAAATTTAATTTCTTCGATCTGCCATATTGTTTAACAGAAGTACTATGTACCGCGAAGAATATAAAACTTCAGTATCAAAAGTGATAACATTTGTTTAATTAACAAAAGCCGTTATAAACGATAAGGAACTCGAGTAATTTACCATTTATTTTCAATTACAATAACAACCAGC